GATGCGAATATCTCTCTGTTTTATTTATTATATATGAACCACCATGCTGGGCTACGCTACTTATTTTCAAAATTCCAGTATTTTTTGTGCAGACAGTATTTTCAGTATTGATAGTTTGTTTTCACACTTCACATAATTCAAATTTTAGTGGCTGTTTTTTCCTCCTGACATGAGAGAAAGCAAGATTTCAAAACAAGTGCAAACATTTGTGTCGTTTTCTGTCTTTCTCTCTTTCTTTTTCTTTTCTTTTGGAAGGATTGGATTTCTGAGGCATTACAGAGGAAAATTGAGTTTGACTTTTATCCAGAGCAGGATCAGCAGATCCGGGCTTTTTACTAAATCATGTTTGAAAGGTTTTAATGCTTCGAGCTTGAATGAGACCTAAAGAGCTCTGGAGTCTCACCGAGAGTTAACTCTGTTAGCCGACCCTGGGGAGAGCAGGGGGGCGTTTGCATGCAGGCTATACATACTGTGGTGAGGGACAAGTTGGGACACATATACACACACACACAAACAGACACACACACACACACACACACACACACACAAACAGACACACAGATTCACTGGCGCTGGCTTCCCGGCAGTGATTTGTAGGCTTCACCTTGCTCTTTTTATTTCTGTGGGTTGGTTGTGTGATTTAAAACCTCTCCTGAGTCAGTGCTTTATTGGTCCTCCTCAGGGTGTGTTTACTGTGAGCAGCCCTCCTCCTACCTCTTCCTCTTTCTCTTCTTCCTCCTCCTCCTCCTCCTCTTTAGCTCTCAGTACTTCATCTGCAAACACATAAACATGCAAACACAAACACACACACATGCACACACCAACACAGTGCATTGATCCTCTCCATCCATCAACCTGAGGACAGGTCTATCGTTAACAGAAATTCATTCCAGTGGTGATGTTTCCCTGCACAACAGCTGGAGATTCTATTAACACAGACACTTTGCCATCATTCTTGGCTGCAGCTGAAGAAATACCTGTCTAGCGTGTGAAATTTTAATCTGGCTCGGTCTCACCGTCTCCATCAGCTTCTATTGGATATAAGTGTGGGAGAAGGATGTCAGTCTGTCCTGCTGATGTCTTGCATCACATTTTCTAATGGCAGCTCTCTTCTTCTACATGTCTTCCTGCAGGCGCTTTGGAACAAAATGTGCATCATGCCAACAGGGGATCCCGCCGACGCAGGTTGTGCGGAAGGCGCAGGACTTTGTGTATCACCTGCACTGCTTCGCATGCATCATGTGCAGCCGGCAGCTGGCCACCGGGGACGAGTTTTACCTCATGGAGGACGGGAGGCTGGTGTGCAAGGTGGATTATGAAACAGCAAAGCAAAACGGTAAGTGCTGCAAGGATCCATAAAAATGAAACATGTTAATATTAAGTCCTGACAATTGACAAGATTTGTTAAGGTATTCAGGCTCACTCTGGGGCCTGTGCCTTAACAACACAGTCACAGAGAAGTGGCTTGACGTTGAAACTTGACTTAAGTACATCAGACAGCTGTAGTATCACAGTAGAGGACATGAGAGATAAAGCCACAGCATACACAGTGGATCCATGTTGTTACACGTCTGTGTCTGTGTGTGTGTGTGTGTGTGTGTGTGTGTGTGTGTGTGTGTGTGTGTGTGTGTCGTCTCCCTCCCTCTCTTTTGAGATTTCCTCACATGTCTGATTGATTATGTAAAGTTAAGCAATGCTCTCCTACGCTGTGGCCTCAATAACTCCATTCCTCTGGCACTGAGTAGATTTATGTCCTCTGCCGTGGGAGGGGGACAGATGCACAAGGACAATAATACACTTCCACATGTGACCATTCACTTCATTTAACACACGTACACTCCACGCAAAGGCCGAGGGCCACTGTCAGTTAAGGCCGTGAGACGGATGTGAGGAGAAGTCACTCACACTTGTGATGGTGTTATTTTAGATGATTCGGAGGCGGGGACCAAGCGACCGAGGACCACCATCACCGCCAAACAGCTGGAGACCCTCAAAAGTGCCTACAAAAACTCGCCGAAGCCAGCACGCCACGTCAGAGAGCAGCTTTCCTCAGAGACGGGACTAGACATGAGAGTGGTGCAGGTAGAGAGTTTGGTTCTTCAGACAACTGCAGACATCTTCATTCCAGAAAAATATCTGAAGGATTTTCATTTTAGTAGAAACTAAAGTTACTCACCACAGGACAAACATTTTAGGTTTATATGATTTGATCACAAGTTTAGGCCACTTCTCTCTGTTTGTGTTTAAAATGAGAAATCTGCATCTCCACTTCTAAATCTGAATTTATTTATATATGTCAATTTCTTATCTGGCTGTTTTTATTTCAATTTAAATTTAAAAAAAAATTCAGGCCTCTGTTATTGAGGCCTTTAAATTTTAAAATTACAAAAACGTAAAGCGTAAAAAATTGGATTTTTAAAATGATACAAGATGCATGATATTAGGACATTTTAAAGATCGTTCACCTTAACCTTAGTTTCAATATTTCTCTCAAGGATTTTGTTTGAATCAGTTCAAGTAGGTGATGTGAAACAATACAAAATAAAAAAGTTTCAGATAATTAATATTAGGTATCTGCTTTGAATTAAAATGCTTTTCATTATTATTAGTTAATTCTAACTTTTATATTCTCTGCCAGGTTTGGTTCCAGAACCGACGAGCAAAGGAGAAGCGTCTGAAGAAAGACGCAGGTCGACATCGCTGGAGTCAGTTTTATAAAAGTGTCAAACGCAACCGAGGGGGAGCCAAAGTGGAGAAGGAGAGCTCGGCTGATGACGCAGGCCTCAGTGACAGCGAGCTGAGCTTCAGAGGTACAAACACTGTGATAATAACTTCAACCCAGAGCGTTTCTGTTATTGCCTGAGAGAGAGATTCCTGAAAGGGAATCGTCAGTCATGCTGTTGTTCTAATGGGATTAAAGGAGCCTACAAGCTGCTAAATGACAAGAGTGCAGCAGCGATTGAATGTGTCTTTTTGCGGCGTTTCATTTGTCTCCCGGCGTTGCTAAATGCACAGTGTCGTTCTCAGGCAAATCCAAAATGGCATTCTCATTTCACATTCCCCTCACACCTACCCATGGCACCTCCCTCACACATCCTCCTGCCTCCGCTCGTCGCCATGATGGAGCAGATTGGAAAGGAGAGGAGGTCCTTAGTGGGATGCAAACAGCATTTTAGACATCTCCATGTTATTTAACGTTTGCGAAACCCTGTTTTGGGCGGTCGTAAAAGTCTTCGAGCCACTTTCAAAAAGAAGGCCATTTTTATGAGAAATGAAAACATGGTGACAGAAACTCCATAAACTATGTGAGGCTTTTAGTCAATTAGAGAGAAAGTGCTTTTGGGGCTTTGTTGTTATTGAAGCCAAGCGTGGGATGGAGAGGGGAGAGATTCAAACAGATTGTGTGCTGCAGTAATGACACACAAACAGACCTCCTTTGTTAGTGAAGAATGTAAAGCACATCCTTTCTCACCAACAAACACTGACATGCTTATCAAACGCCTGCTCCACTTACTGGGCCCCCATGAAACCCACACAACGGTGCCACTATAAAACTCACTCATAAAAGCACTTAACTGTATTGAAATACAACAGGTATATAATGTCCACATAGTTGACAGCACTGTTGATGTGTCTCAGTATTTACTCGTGCTAAGTGATGGTGTCTCCTCCGCAGAAGACCAGGTCCTGTCAGATCTCGGCCACACCAATGGGCTTTACGGGAGCGTCGGCGACATGACCAGCAGCGCGGTGCTGAACGGGGGCTTCTCTGTCGACGCAGCGGGCCAGCCTTACCACGACATCCGAGCAGGGAGCCCCTACGGACTCCCTCAGTCGCCCTCCTCCATCACCTCTCTGTCCGGCCACACCCCTCTCCTCAACAACCTGGGCTTCAACATGGACAGTCTGGTGGCGCAGGGGGGTGCAGGCGGGGTGGGGCAGGCTCTGAGGGCCATGGCAGGGGGCCCCACCTCAGACCTCTCGACGGGCAGCAGTACGGGATACCCTGACTTCCCCACCAGTCCCGCCTCGTGGCTGGACGAGATGGACCATTCCCAGTTTTGAGTCTCGAACACAGGCAGAAGACAAAACAGACTTAAGAGGCTTTTTTACATTTCTTTCTTTCACCCTCCAAGACTAGTAGGTTTTGTGATGCTGGGTGAAGAGCAGAAGGAAGAGAAGAAGTGTGACTCTCAGTACCTCCTCAGTGAGGTGTAGCCGCCCGGGTCCAGATGTGTAGTCCAGAGAAAAGCAGCGAGGAACTCCGCCGCACCGCTGAATGTTCAGTCTCAACACTGTATCATACGACGTTTGTTATCACTTGACTTTATTTTGTTCTTTCACTCTCTGAAAATGAGAATGGATTTCCAATATGTCGGTGGAATTACGCTCACAGGGGAGGTAATATTGTCTCGTCCTCCCCTAAAATAACTCACCCCAACTCTAACAGCTACAACATTAGGGCTAAATCTCGATCACAGGCCCTACGAGACCCCGGAGGCGCCTGCATGCTTCTGATTCCCGAGTAGGACTGCTGTCCGGCCATATCGAAGCCTTTACATTGGCAATGCACTTTATTCTCCTCTTCTTTTTCTACACATGTGGACAGGAATGCAGAGGAAAAAGAGAGAAACAGGGGGAGAGACATGCACAAGACAAAAACACAGTGTTTCATTGGGTGAGAAAATTTACAAGAACAGTGGCACAAGTGTGAATTTTGAACCATGCTGATGTTTTTTAATGTATTGCTGAAGCTTACAAGTTATTAGGAAGTAGATGGTCTGTGCGTCTGTCCGTCTGTCCGTCCATAGAAGCTGATGTCTCCTCTGTTTGAGGACGTACACTGTTTGCTACACAGCAGGTCTCTCTTCTATATTTATAGGTGCTTGACTTGTTCTCGTCTGTGTAAAAGCTGTCTGAGAGCGGACGTCTGTCAGTATTAAATTATCTTGTTTCCAGACTCACCAGGAATCAAAGCTCGTGTGCTGGATGGAGGACAGTCAAGGCGTTTTGGGGTCTGGAGAAAATTCTAGTAATATATCACACATCTAAATTATTAATTTATTCCTTTTGAATGCACAGACAAATGACAAGGAGACACACATGAGTGAGTCATTTGCAGATATTATTCAACAAATAAAATGGTTACACACATTTAAAATATCTATTCGACAAAACACCAACAAGTATTTGCAGGAAGGAAATTCTCAGTGTTCGTTCTTCTGTTTGGTCAATCTGACTCCGGCTTCTCTTGCTAATCTACTCTAGTGCAGCAGAGCTCTGGCTTTGCCTGCTATCAACCTACTTACTGACCCCAGATGTGTTGTCAGCCTGTGCAGTTCTCCCGCTGCCTGGCCTCCATGTCAGAGGGATTACCACCCTGCCACCCCCAACCCCACCCCCATTCAGCGCTGACACTCTCCTGTCACATCGCTCCTCAGCATCTGCTCGGCTGATGGGTTTTCTTACACTTCAACATCAGCTGCATCCTAAAGTCCCTTGAAACACAGGACAACAGGTTAAAAAAAGTGGATCCTGTTTCTGATGCTCCTGAAATACAAATTTTATTTGAGCCAAGTGGAAACGGTTCTATCTGACCTGGTGACCATTTCAAAACCAGTGGTTATTTTTGATCTGAAAGAAGGTTTGCTTAAAAAAACGATCAGAAATCAAAATCTGTTCGGTCACCTTTCCCTGAAAAATTGCCAAGTCTTTTTTTTCTACCAGAGCATCTGATTTGAGAGCCAGAAAGCAAATCAACAAACAGAAAGCAACACCACTGAGACAATTTTGAAAACTGGCCACAATTTACATTGTAATTATCGGATGAGTACATGGTATCAATAAAAGACGTAAACTTACTGAGTAGCTACACTTTTTAGGTAATATGTAAGTACAGGGGAATAAAGGAGTGAAACTTTGTCTAAACCTACATTAA